CTCCTCTCCTCTCCTCTCCTCTCCTCTCCTCTCCTCTTCTTTCTTTTGCAAATCTACATTCATAAATTTCATCCCCACTTAATTAATCAAATACATTTTCTCCTTCTCTACCAGTGGCCATTCTGACATACAGCTTCAGAATCTGGACGTTAACAATTTACTCAGCAACGCTCTTTTGGCCAAGGAATCGGCGCTCAACTATTGCTTGTCTGAAGCGCAGTACGCAGCAGCCAGCTCACGTGCCAGTTCTTCACTCGACCTCGAATGGGAGCATGAGTACGGTCATATGCGTCAACTATACCAACACTCGCACAACACGCACCGCAGCACCCAATCTTTGCTACTTACCGCCCACAATGGTGGCAGTAACAACAACCTCGCACAATACACAAATTCCAACACCACGCCAGTACATCAGGCGTACATCCTCAACAACAACTCCAACACGCTCAGCACTGCTAAAAGCAACGCCACCTATGACAATCACCCGCTACATGTACACCTAATGGACGACTCATGGCAATATTTGAGCAACGATGAGGATCAACTCAATTCATTGGCTTCGTACTCACAATCTCAATCACTACCCCATGCGCCGCTAAATGCTGCAGCTGCATCAGTGGCAGCTGCCAGATCAGCTGAACGCTGCGAGCTACGCATGCGTGGGCGCTACGCTCGCCAACCACCAATCAACGAACAGCGTAACAGTTCCTTTACACGCACTTCTTCCTCGCACAATTCTTGGTCGCACATATCTACGCCTGAATCGCTCGAATGGGATCAGGATGAGGAGCAGCAGCGGCAGTTACGTGTGGAAGATGATAATTTGGATCACGAAACGTTGGAGCTGTTGCATCAAATTGAACAGTTGAAGAATCGTGTGCTAGACGAAACAGGTGATGGACTCTTCGATGATGGTATGATGGGCGCTGAGTCCGGAGCGGATGTCAGTGAGGGTATACACTTTGCGGTGGGTGGGCAGCGGTTCGCGGAGAATGGACGTAAAGACAACAGTTGATTTGAATTAGCGCTGAAACGCATGCGAAGTGTTTAAGGCAAAAGTTAAGGTGGGGGATGAGGATGAGAATAAATATCAATTAATTATGGGAAAATACTGTATAATCAAGTGCCTAGACTAAAGTATCATTATGTAGCATAAATAATGTTTAATTAAAGTTACTGGTAATGTTAGACTCAAAGTTAGTATAGAAAAAGTCATGGCGAAAAAGTGTGGAGATGACAGAAGTCGCAAGCGTTTCCTTTGTAACGTTGGAGTGTTCAAAAATCATTCTTTCAATCAGACTTTAGTGAAAAGATGTCTGAGAATTGTTTAAAAAGTACTCCTCTTACAATTGACTATGGCATGTGAATTATTTCCACCCGTTTGCCATGATTCCAACGAGAAATACATACCTACATAAGTTCGTTTTTGAAATTGTTTTACGAAGGAGCGTTATACAGTCGAATGAAATTATTTATATAGTTAACCCTTTCAATACTGCGGGGATATATAAGTCCCAGAGAATGTTCAAAAATTACCGGAGCGAAAAATATTCGCTTTAAAAGCGCTGGGATGGGATTAAACCGTAGGTTGTAGACAGTACTTCACCACACGTGCTTCGGTCAACATAACCTAACTAATTTGTACTTGGTATACGGTCATACGTGTAAGAGTGTTCTTGGTGCATACACGTGTAAGCAATATTTTAAGTTTTTTCTACGTGTTTTAGTGAAAAATTTTTCTGTTTNCACTTAGATATAGTATATTATAGTTGTATATTAGAATAGAGTTTAGAAGACTTCCAAATCAAATAATCATGTTGAGAATTGCATAAAATATATTGATCGGATAAATCATTTTAGACAAGCATAGTTTGCAACGTTCACTAAATTTATATGTTTATTAAGAATAATGGTTAAATGTAATTTAAAAATAGTTGAATATATTTACTGACATGGCGGATTACAGGTTTATTCATACCAGTGGCCTTTGACTTCGACAGGCTTCAATATACAAAAAAAAAAAACAAAAAACAAGTAAAAAAGTCTAAGTTTGGGCGGAACCGAACTTTAAAAATCCGGCGCAGGTATTAAATATAGTTTTTTTTTTTACCTTTCCAAAAACTACCGTTACATGAAACAGTGGTTCAAAACTGGCATTTATTATTCATAATTTAATTATTTTTTTGTTTTTTTTTTCTGGTAGAGCCAGATTTTTTAACTTTCATTTCCGTGTACTAATTTTTTAGTGCAAGGTGCAGAAAAAGTAATCATTGTGAAGAAAATAGTATCTCCTATTCCAGTTAATAAATGTTACATAAAAAAACTAGTGGAAAACATTTTTGGGGCCCCGAAAAACAAAAAATATTTAATGTTTAAAAAAAAAATCACCAAAATTTAACGAAAAAAAAAATAGTTTTTAGAAAAATTTTGGGTATGCAGTTTTATAGATCATGATATTTTACTAAAATAAAGTGAAAGTTTCAAGTGGCTAAAAGTTTGCGTTGATTTTTAATAATAAATACATATAATAAGAATATAAACTACACAACATGCAGATAGATGTGCTCGAAAAACTAGCGAAAAAAATATTGAAAATCAACGCGAATTCTTAGCCACTTGCAACTTACAATTTAATGGTCTATAAAACTGCATATCCCAGAATTTTTCTAAAAACTCCTAAAAAAAAATTAGTTTTTGAGAATTTTTTTTAATAACATTTCAAAATTGTTTTCTGAATTTTCATTTTCGGGAAGCCCCATAATTGTTTTCAACTAGTTTTTTATATGTATCTAACATTTATTAACTAAAACAGGAGAATCGATTTTCTTCAAAATTGTTACTTAGTCCGCATTTTGCACTAAAAATTTAACACAAGGAAATGAAAATTCAAAAATCTATCTCAACACGTTTCTTGCTAATTTTATAAGCTTTCATTTAGAGGAAAAATTAATCAAATCGGTTGCAAAATTAAGGCTTCATTGAAATCTGAACATTAAATTCCAGTTATGTACCACTGTCCATAGAGAGCTGGGTTGGTTTTACCGCTATTTCAAAGATCTTCGATAGTATGTTCAGTTATACTTAATGAGATAAGCTTGTGAAGTCATAAATTAGCGGTGCCACGCCCATTTTCCTAATATAATATTTTTTTCGACTATTTAATGACAGATGGCGCTGGTTATACAAATGAAAGAAAATCAATATTTCGTGTACATATATGCTTCAGTTTTCAATTTCAATATGCACTTAATAACATCACGTATTGGACAGCCCGCAGGCCAAGATGCAGGAGCTAGACTGATCCTGGTTTGTAATTTTTAGATTCGAATAAAAAAGTGTAGTACATTATTCGGCGTATTTTGAGGACTTTCGACATTTTCTCAGGATTTTCCGGAATTTTCATATATTTCTTGAAATTATATCGGTAGCTTTCAAATGTTTCTCGAGACTTGTCAAACTTCATTCGGGGAACCTTGCGGAAATTTTCGAATTCAAAGGTACATTTATATTTTATGAATTCTCAAATATGTATTACTTAAAAGAGCCTATTTTAGAAAAAAATAATAATAATTTTTTTGTTACAACAAGGATGCTGTATTTTTTTTAATTTACATAAAAAAAAGTTTAAACTGTTTTTTTTTCTTACATATAGATATACATATGTAAACTAAATATAGAGAATTTATGAACACCGAAAATACTACGCATATCCCATTCAACTGAACAAAAATCATCTAAGCATATTTAAGAAATAGTAGACATATATATTTCTGTATTTCCTAAGGTACAGTTAAACACTAACAGTTAACAAAAAAATTAAACTAATGTCATGAAGATACATAAACTACAAGAAAACTAAGCTATGGAGGGCGAAACAAAGTGGAAAGGTATAATAGGGCTACTTACTGACATTAAAAGAGAACTCGACAAGCTCTTAACTTTTATTGAACTTTCGAAAAACGCATTTAAATATATATACATTAGGGCAGCTCAATTTTTATGGGAGCTTTTTTCGACTATGCGCGTATGGCACAGAAGGGTTCTACGTGTTGTTCTAAGCAAATTTGAACAAGAAACTATTTAGGAAACTACAAATTGGTTTTAGACCCATAGTTTCTTCAGCAAATTTGCATGGAATTACACGTAGAATGCTCACATGCGCGTAGTCCCAAATTCTACCCGCCCTAATATACCTACATAAGTATTTCCAAACTCCCTAACTTCTTTAAAGAGATTCCCTAATACAACTATTTGATTAAAAGCTTAGTTCTCAAAGCTCAGTTCTAAGACGTGTATACTATTTTTCCGCGCAAAATTTATTAATTGATCTATTTTTGTATATTATTAAAGATGTCGTTTTTATTAAATTAAATTAATTACAAAACGAAGCAGTCGTATTATTAGCGTATTGAGTACGAGCATACATTCGGAAACTTAGCAACTAACAATTAACAATTAAATAAAACAAAATATGACATGTTATTTATAAAAAAAAAAAACAATGCGAAATAAGGCATAAAAACAATATACATAAATTTACATTAAATAAAAACAACTGAAGAAGTTTATTGAACAAAAGAGTATCGCTTTTTCGATTTTTTTTTTTTTAATTTCGAGTTTTTAAATTAAATATTTTTGGGCGTTCTTTGATAAAATAAATCAGCCAAATATTCCGGAAGCCTTCTTCTTAATCGAGCCCCATAAACCAGTGCTTTCTGGCTCTGCTGTGACCTCGACATGCTGTAAAATTTAAATAAAAGTAAGCATTAAAATTTTAGTTGAATATGTATCAGCAAATTAACCAACTCACCGCATTCGCCTCAGTGCTGGACACTTGCTTCTGATTGTAGCTGCTATGTGCGCCTGTGAAGCTACCGCTAAGATCTTCGACCTGCACTTGCTGCTGCTGATCCCAATCGTGTTGCTTGTAATCGCCCAATTCCACTTGTTGTTGTTGACCGAAGTCTTCCTGCTGCTGCTGCGACTGCTGTGATGACGACGTATAACCACCGGAACTGCTGCGGCCATAACCGAACTGCGCTTGCTGCTGTTGCTGTGCATTCCAACCTAAGTCGACTTCCTGCTGTTGCCCGCCATCTTCTAGCTTGCCATTCCAACCGACTTCAACCTGCTGCTGTTGACCGTAGTCATCCACCTTTTGCTGCTGCTGCTGCTGTAGTTGCGTGTCAAGTTCACGCTCGCGTCCATAGCGTGTACGACCTCCTAAGCCGATATTAGCGCTTGCACTGGTCGCGCTACTGCTCGCATCGGCGCTAGCCACAGCGTTAACACCACCAGCTGGCACAGTGTATTTGTATTCTTTCTTGCTATAACGATAGCCACTCGTTCGGCCACCGCTGGCAAGCGGTGCGTAGGGCGCTGGGTAGGCTGGATATTGCGTGGTTGTTTCTTCTTTTATAGCAGCATTTGGCAGTGGATATAAAGCATTGTCTTGACCGGCCAAACCGGGCTCTTCTACGTCACCATTTTCGTCGTATACATGCGGCGGCTGATCGCCACGATCCTTGGAGATCACATTATGTGGCCAAGCAGTGCGATTAGTGGAACCAGCGCCAATTTCGTGACCGCCAAAGCCGGTGGTAGAGTCCATGGGCAGGAGACCTTGGCACAGCAGATAGAGTATGCGTCGCCATTCGAGTAGTTCCTCGCCCGCCAAGCCGGTCTTGCGCTCCAGCACTGCCATACGTTTCGCCTCCTCGGCACCCCAATTGATGCGCTCCGCCTCATTGCTGGTCTTCTTGTGCATCACGAAGTTGATGTAGCGCCATTCTTTGTCGCGGAAGTCCTGCAGCTGGTTCAACGTCATGCCATAGTGTTCAGCGAGTTGTATGAAACGCTCGAATTCCTTAATTTGCCAGTCTTTCAGTGCCTGCGTTGTGATGCCGTAATTTGCGGCCACTTCGTTGAGGAACATGTCCTGTCGTTGCCAGTTGCGTAGATTCTTCAGACTAAAGTTTTGATTTTTAATCAAATTGTAAAGACGATCACGTTCACGCTTCTGCCATTGCTCCAGCGTTAACAGCTTGGTATTGTCTAAGAGTCCTTCACGCTGCAAGTGACTGATTTCGATGCTCTGGAAGGGCGCCAGTTGCTCGAGCGTGGTGCCGTAGAGTTTCGCCAAACGACGCTGATAATCGGTGTCAGCGGCAATAAACTCGAGGAATTCAATTTGGGTAATGTTGATCTCAGCAGCAATACTACGCAAACGCTCACTCTCCTGCTTTTGCCAGTTGTTGTAGTCGCTGGACTGGTGCAAGTTGCGTACAAGTCCCAAGTCGGCAAGACGCCGTAATTCATTATTGATCCATGATTCTAGTTCTTCGATAGACACATGGTACTCATCGGCCAAATTGTTGAGTGTAGTTCTATCGCGCAAAATTTGCTCTTCCCACACCTCCACGGTCACGCCGGGTTGGCGTGTGACTAGGCGGTACAGTCGGTCCTTCTCACGACGTTGCCAGTCGACCAAGTGCTCCGAAATGATTTTGTTCTGGTCCAGCAGACGTTGCAGCTCTTGCCTGTACCAGGCCTCGGCTTCCTCGACTGTGACGTGGTATTGTATAGCCAATTGACGCAAATGCTCCTGGTCTTGCCTCAGCTGCCTTTCGAGTTCTTCTATGGACCAACGCTGCTGCTTGCGTAACCGATCGTTAATCAAGTTCTGTATGTGTTGACTCTCTTCGAACTCCCACTCCTCCACCGTCACTGAGCCGGTTATGACTCCCTGCTGATTAAGTTTCTGTGCCTCTTCGCGTATATACTCTTCGATCTCTTCCACGCTGACATTATATTGGCGTGCAAATTGTTCCCAACGCATGCGCTCCTTAACCAAGTAATTCTCAAAATCTTGCCAATTCATGGGCACAGTTTGCGCTACGGCTTTCAGATGTGCAAGCGTGTATACCTTCCATTCATCGTTGCCGCTGTGGTCCTCGTAAACAGCATAGTTCTGGGGACCTTTAATCAAGCCGAGCACTTGCAAACGTGCGCCCTCTTGCTGCACCCACGATTCGACCTCTTCGACTGTCACTTGGTAGTCCTGTGCAATGCGCTCAAGACGTGCTTTATCGCGACGCAAGAACTCGTTGAACTCTTCATAGGTAGTGGCGTTATTCTGTCGATTTAACCAATCCTGCAAACGGTCGCGTTCGCTCTTTTGCCAGTAAGTCAACTGCTCGACTTGCAATAGTCCGGTGTTCTTCAGACGCTGTAGTTCGTCACGCATCCAAGCTTCGATTTGCTCAACGCTCACGCTGTACTCCTGCGCCAAACTTTGCAAATGCGCGCGATCGCGGCGTAGCTGTGACTCGAACTCGTCATAGCTGATGCTATTCTGTTGTTGTAGCAGCATATCAATCAGTCGTTTCTGCTCATCACTTTGCCACTGTGTGAGGCTCTCCACTTGCACTTGTCCGGTGGCCTTCAGGTTGACCAATTGCTGACGCAGCCACGTTTCGACCTCCTCAACACTCACCGAGTACTGGCGGGCAAGCTCTTGTAAACGTTGGCGCTCCTTATTGAGCTCCATTTGAAATTCAACATAACTCAAATGGTTATTTTGGCGTATGAGTTCCTTCAAGCGTTGCGCTTCCGCCACTTGCCACTCCGCAAGCTTCTGTACGTGATCGGCTGAGTCTTTACGCAAACGTTTCAACTCTTCAATCATCCACTTTTCGATTTGATCGATACTGATGCGATACTGATCGGCCAGCTGATGCAAATGTGCGCGATCTGCCAACAATTTCTGCTCGTACTCGGTGGTGGATAGACCATTTTGGTATTGCCCGATCAGCTGTTTGATGTAGTCGCGCTCGACCAGCTGCCAATTCTGCAGATTCTCCACCTCAAACTTGCCCTTGTTGCGCAACTCGTCGATGACCTTCTTGACATAAGCCTCGACCTCCACTACGCTCACATGATACTGGTTAGCCAAGTTGATTAGGAAACGTCTATCTTTTTGCACTTTCTCCTCGAACTCTTCCACTGTGATGGTGGATTGTTGTTGTAGCAAGTTCAAAATGCGATCATGCTCAGTCTTCTGCCACTCAGTGAGCTTCTCGATATCGAGTTTGCCCTGTTGCCGAAGACGATCCACCTCAGATTGTATCCATTTCTCGATTTCCTCCACCGATGTGTGGTATTGGAAGGCCATTTTCTGCATATGTTCCCGATCTTGGCGTAGCACACTTTCGAATTCCTCTACACTCCATGCCTTATTTTGCTTAACCAGCTCCTCGAGCCGCGCGCGTTCGGCTATCTGCCAAGCGGTGAGATTGTCAATTTGCAACTGGCCATCGTCACGCAAGCGAGCCAACTCTTTCTTCATCCACTGCTCGATTTCCTCGACTTGAACGCTGTAGTCGCGCGCCAACTTTTCAAGCAACTCACGATCCTGACGCAGGCGCTGCTCCAATTGCTCGGTGGAGTGGTACTGCTCCTGCGTGATACGCTCCAAGTAACGACGTTCCACCGCTTGCCAGTTGGTTAGCTTCTCGTTGGGTTTCAGCAGTCCCATGCTGATGAAGCGTTGCTCCTCATTGCGCACCCACTGTTCGATCTCTTCGATTTGCACGTTGTGTTGCATGGCGAGATCCTGCAGTCGCTTGCGATCCTCTAATAGCCACTTGTGGAATTCTTCCACCGTGAAGTCACGTTCCTTAACCATATTTGTCAGATTGCCACGCCATTGCGATTGCCAGTCCTTGAGTTTTTCCATTTCAATCAGCCCCTCTGCTTGCAGTTTTTGAATCTCTTTCTTGATCCACTCCTCGACCTCCTCAACGCGCACTTGGTTCTGATGCGCCAGAGTGTATAAGTGCTGGCGGTCTTTCTTGATGCTTTCTTGCAGTTCATCAATGGATAGATTATTCTTGTTAACCAATTCCAGCAGACGGTCCCGCTCGATTTTCTGCCAGTTACTCAACTGTTCTTGTATCTGCAACAAACCCAAGCTTTGCAGACGTTCGCCTTCTTTTTTGATCCAACCCTCAATCTCTGACGTTTGTACATTATAAGTGCGTGCTAGATCTTGCAAGCGCTGTCTGTCAGCCAACAGCTTCTTCTCGAACTCCTCAATAGTCAACTTATTCTCCTGCACAATCTTCAGTATATCCTCACGCTCTTGTCGCTGCCAGTCCTTCAAGTCCTCGACCTTGATGAGGCCTTCGCCCTGCAGACGCAATAACTCCTTCTTCAACCATTCTTCAATCTCCTCAACTCGAACTTGGTACGTGTTTGCCAAACTGTAGAGATGCGTTTGATCCGCTTTTATTTTCGTCTCCAGCTCTTCAACGGTCAACTCGTTTTGCCGCACAATAGAATTCAAGCGCTCACGTTCCTTCTGCTGCCAGGCCGCCAGCTCTTTTTCGACCTCCTTCAGTAGTCCCTGCGATTGGAAATTCTTAATTTCATTCCTTATCCATTCCTCTACTTCGGAGACTTGTATCTTGTAGGTCTTCGCCAGATCCTCAAGCCGCGAACGATCGCTCATGATCTTCGCTTGGAATTCCTCAATGGTCAAGTCGTTCTTATTCACAATCGATTTCAGGTGCTCACGTTCACGGCGCTGCCACTCTTGAATATCCAACTCAAGTTTGGTCTGACTCTCGTTATGTAAACGGTCCAACTCAGAGCTCTGCCATTTCTCGAGTTCCTCTAGGCTCACATGGTACTTCGCGGCCAACGCTTGCATATAGTTGCGATCACGTGCCATTTGTGCCTCCACCTCCTCCACCGAGCCACGGTGTTGCTTAACCACATTCTCCAAACGCTCACGCTCTGAACGTTGCCATTCGGTCACTCGTGTCATCTCGTTGCGTTGCTCGTTGATTATGCCATTCAGGCGCGCCATTTCACCCTTCAGCCATTTTTCCATATCCTGCACGTTGCCACGATACTTTTGTCCTAAGTTGGTGAGCTTTTCTTGATCCATTCGTATTGAGTTTTGTAGCTGTGTAATTGTGGCGTTGTGTTGGCGTATTAGCTCCTCCAGACGTTCTTGTTCACTGGTGCGTAGAGAGCCCGAATCGATGGGACGCGAAATCAACGAATTGTTTTGATCATTAAAGTGCGCGTAGAGGCGATTCAATTCCTCGATTTGCCAGTTCTTTAATTCTTGCAACGAAATATTGTACTGGCGTGCCAATTGCACCAATTTCTCATTGTTCTCGCGCTGCCAACGCTCCAACTCTTCACGTGTAACGCTATTCTGGTGTATCAACCAATCGAGGCGTCCAGCTTCCGTACGCTTCCAGCCGGTCAAGTTGGAATTTTGTGCCTGATATTGACCCAACAACACGCGATAACGGTCCAACTCGTCACGGTGCCACGCCTGTATGTTCTCAATCGTAGTGTGATGGCGTTCAGCCGTAGCCAAGAGACGTTCCTCTTGCTGCCGTTGCCATTCCTCCAGACGCTGTGGTGTTATATTGCCTTGTGTCAAAAACCAAAAGAAACGTTCACGTTCTTCCTGCTTCCAGGCCTCGCCACGTGGTACAGTCCATTCACCGAATGGCCGCTGCGAGTCGTATACGAGTTTACCATCAACCCACTTGCGATTCAGTTCAGAACCACTAACCGTATTTGTGCCATCAGGATTGGTAATAATTGTCTTATTGAACCGCCGCACCGTCACTGTAGAGCCGGGCGCATAACTTGGTCGGAACGCTGGACTGCCAGCGCTAAGCGCCTCCACATCAGCGTCGAAGGGGACGTTTGTAGCTGGTTGGTAGGCACCCGCTTGCCAATTTGAAGAACCCGCAACATTTACCACTGGATTATAGCCCATAACACTAGGTTCCATATTCTGATTTACCCAATCATAGACGGTATTCTTGCGTCGCAAGGTTGTCGAAGTGCTGCTGCTGCTAGTTCCAGGCTGCGCATAAATGGGACTTGGGTAGGAGGCAGTACTGCCAGATACCAAGGAACCGCTGCTGTAACCACCTGTGCCATATGTATAGGCCGGTATACCGCCGCTGGTGGCAATAGTAGTGCGATTGCGACTGCGAACGGTGACCAGCGGACTGCCGTACGTGCCGTCGCCGCTCACCTTCTTGGCCTCAGTGCAATTCTTGTGCACCACATAAGTTTTGCCGTCGATGACTTTCACTTCGGCGGGGTAAGCATAGTTGCGTACCTCATCGAAGTTCGAAAGATCGACCGGTTGAAAGTGGCCAACTTCGATCTGTTGCTGTTGTTGACCGTAATCGTCGCTGGCGGCAGTGTAAGTTTCCAGGGTTTCGGCTGCCTTTGATTCGAAGAAGTTCGGTGCGATGATGGTTGTGTAAGGCAGGAGGCCTTTACGCATGTCGGTAACCAATTGCTCGCTAACACGACGCACGAGTGCATCCAACTCAGAGCCAGTCTTGCCGGTCAGACTGATGATATTTGCTATAAAGGTAAGGAGAAATAAACGAATAAAATACTGAGTTAACTTGGTATATCTTAAGGCACTTACCATCCCATTGTGTGTCCTGCACACTGTAGCCGGTGCTGGTACCCTGCGACATGTAATTGTATTCCTGTCTCAGCCGAGTTGCAAACTGCCGCACTTCATTAATATGGGCATAGGCCCAGGAACTTAGTTGACAACAGGATGAGCTGCCACTGGCAGATGAGGAGGACGAAGATGATGCATAGCGTGACGAATGTGAGTAGCCGGACGTGCTGCCGACGATGTAAGCATGCGCGCGCCATTGCGCTACGCAGAGTAGCGCCAATAAAAGGCTCAGGGCCTTCATTTTGAACGGGGATAGTCGATTAGTGAAGCTTCAGATGAGTATGCCTGAAATTAGAAAAAGGAAGGAAATATAAATTTCAAATAATTTGAGGCTTTCCTGGAAGATGAAAAGTGTAAAAGTTAGTTTGGTTGAAGATAGGAAAAAGCGTAAAAAAATTCGAAAATCAATCAAAGTCCCTAAAAACTCCAAGAAATCCAAAATCGAGAAATTTGTAAAAGTTCAAAAAGAAATTATTTAAATATTCCAAGAAATACTCGAAAAATCAAAGTACCCAAAAATAACAATAATAAAAAAAATCCCGAATAGTCACAAAACCTACCCAAACGAATGCCTAAAAAGATTGCTAGAAAATCTCGAAAAATCATGAATCCCGGAAAGTATCAAAAAAAGAAAACCGAAATCATCCCAAAAAATCTCAAATTGCATCGAAATGGGTCTGATTCCAAAAAAAGTCCCAAACGCCCAAAATAAATCTGGAAAGTATTTAAAAAAAAATCCCGAAAAATTAAAAAGCAGACTCGAAACGCTTTCAAAAACTTAAAAAAATTCTAAATAAAAATTGTCACAATGTCTTGATTGCAAAATAATTCGAAAACCCCAAAATAAAACTGGAAAGTATCACAAAAAAAAAACAAACAGACGAGAACCGCAAAATAAATCTGTAAATATTTAAAATAAATCCCGAAAAATGAAAAACAGACGCCAAAAATTTTCAAAACTTTCTAAAAATTCTAAACCTGTTTTCATAATATCTTGATTGCGAAAAATCCGGCGCTCCAAAATAAATCAGAAAAATATCTCAAAAAATTTCGAAAATTGAAAAACAGATCCGGAAAGTATTCAAAAATTTCGAAAATTTTTAAAATATAGCAAAAAGTCCTTTTGCAATGACTTTATTTCAAAAAAAAAAAAAACGCAAACCCTAAAATTGGTCTTGAAAATATCTCACAAAATTCCGAAAAGCGAAAAAAGAGACCCGAAAAATGTTCGAAAATTTCGAAAAATCCTTAAACATCCCCCAAAATAAATCTGGAAAATATCTCAAAAAAGTCCAAAAATCCAAAAAAACATACCCATAAAAATTTTCGAAAAATTCGTGAAATTACAAAACATCACAAAACCAATTTTTTCACAATGTCTTGATTGCAAAAACATCCCGAAAAGTGAACAACAGACCCGAAAAATTTTGCAAAATTCTAAAACATCACGAATCAAAAAAATTGCAAAAAAATCCGAAACCCCCAGACTATCTCAAAAAATTGAAGCCAAAAAACACATTAAAAAAGAAAAACTTTTTTTCAATGTCCTTTTGGTTTCAAAATCTAAATTTATTTTGTCTATTGAAGTATTTTTCATAAACAGGAATATCCCTATAAAAATGTATTGAAATTGTTTAGATCGGAGAATATCCCTACTATTTAAAATTTAATAATGAGAAGTACACGCGCTTAAAAATTAAATAAAACTATAAACATTTCGCTTTCACATGCCATCACACAATGTATAGAGCACACTAATACATATTTATTAGTAAATATTATTCAAACGCCACATAAACTGATGGCCTCTTATAAAACGAGCGCTATTTTAATTATTATAGAAGCTTTATATAAATTTTGTGTCAGCATTAATCTATAATCTAAATAAAACAAGAAAAAAAAACAAACCTAAGTGGCTCTAGTCTATAGGAATTAATTCGAGTATTAATTTTATTTTTGTATAAATATTCTCGTCAGCCTTCATACGCATTAAAATAAACCAAGTAGAGATAAGTGAGATGCGCTTTATAATAAGTTCAATATTGTGACCTTTGAAGCTTTAAGCGCCGAGGTATTATTTTTTGTGGATGGAGCTTATTTTCGTTTATTTATTTACTGTAGTTTAGTATTTACTTGGGCTTTTTTATTTTATGCCTTTATTATTTATTTCGCATAGCTGCAAAACAGCTTCTTAATCTTCAAAACACAAAAAACCCCACTGTTTGGCATAAATAGCATCTGCAATGAAGCATGAAACAATTCATAGCCACTCACATCCGGTCAGAAACCAATAGACGTGTATGTATGTGTATGGACTGATAATTCGTTAGGAATATAAAATATAAAATTAAGACATTACCTAAGAAATTTGCAGCGGTTCTGTTCAGAAAAGATAATCTATAAATTTCAAAGCTTTCCAGCTTTATAGCAACGAAGTGTGCTCTCGGAGGCATTTAAATAATTCCAACTTTCTTAATTTTTCTAAAGCCAATTAACCGAAATTCTTAACGAGGGAGCAACTATCTTTTGACTCAAGGCGATGAATGTACATTCCCTTGATTCTACCGAAAGAATAAGATTCCAGAACAACCTCAAAATAAACTTTTTTATCCACGACTTCTGCAGTCGATCCTCCTCCTCAACCGCTCGCTTCAAGGCGAATTTATACAAGGTGGTGTTGATGGCGAATTTAGAATTTCGCCGCGGTACTTCTTAACGTCAAAATGATATGTTTGTTGCAAAACTAATTCGCCTTGTTTTGATTATAGTCAAAAAGGTTCTAATTCAGGCAACTCTTAGTGGCAGTGGTAAGCCTAAGGGCTTATGGTACAGTCGACTGCCATGGTTTGCAAAGGGAGAGAACTTTTCTCGTCCCAAAATCCGGTCATTTTTTGCTTAAAATCCGCCCAAATCGTTTCAAGATATCCACAATAATTGGAAAGTTGGTTACTTTCTACCGTAGCCGATGTGATGAGGTAACACTCAATCAATTAAACTTGACCTTCTTCGATTACAATTCACCAGAAGTAGTTGACTCTCTGGTTTTTTTTTAGTCTCTGGTTTATTTAAAAAATGCGGTATGTATTTTGGGGTTACGAAACGGACCAAATATTTGATTTAGCATCACCGAATAAACTTTTAAAATTATCCAATTTTTAAATATAAATACATACGAGAATTGCAGTAAACTGAGGCGAGAATGCAGAAGACTCCGCCAAGTATATTATAACAACTATACATACATTAAGAATTGAGGAACTAGTCATGACGGATGTGAACCAATTGTGGAAGTAGTATGTTATAAACAAGAAGGACAACGATGCCGACATTCCCTCTTCAATGTCCTGGGGCGAGAGGGACGCTGAAAATAGTAGAGAAGTAAGTGACCTATTTATTGCATTCCTTAAAAGCATCTACGACAATCATTATGCGAAACTCGTGATACAAGCAGACGAGGACGCCAATAGCCCAACTTCGCTCTGGCTACTGCTATAGGCCGAACTCATACCTGAGCAGACTAGATGCAGGTGTACCCAATGAGTGTCCGGTGACACCCCACGACTCGATACATCTCTTCGCATGCTCACAAAATCCTACACGGCTAACGCCTCTGTTCCTGTGGATGGGCCCTATAGAGGCTGCACGTTACTTGGGTCTGCAGTTAGTTGAGCTTGACAATAACAATAACAACTGAGATACCAGGCGATCTGGGCGGGGTTGTTGTAGACGCTAGAACAACAACAACAACAACAACGACAATTTAACAGAGTTTGTTACTAGTTTTAATATTGTCTTCGAGGAAACCCAATCTGTTTCTCAAAAAGTGTGCATTAGGACTTGCTGAACCCATAACTGCTATAAATATTTGAGTCATCACTAGGGACAGGAGTCTTCCCCTCAGCCTGGAAGATAGATTTTACCAGTCAAATACATAATTCAGATATAACTAACCACAGACCGATCTGTTTGCAATTATCTAACCAACCTGTTTTCTTATACGAATTACATTCTCAATGCTATGAACCGTGGTCTGAGTGTATATGCAATTTTAACAAATTTCAGCATGGCCTTCGATACGGACAACCATAAAATACTTATCAATAAGCTGAGTTAATACGGTGTAAATAATAAGGCGCTGGGTTAGATAAAATCGTATCTATCTGAAAGACTATTACAGGTACAGGTTAACGGCCATATATCACATAGGTATGATGTATGCTCTGGTGTCCCTCAAGGATTTCCTTTGGCTCTAATACAGTGCGAATCGGATTGCATCCATCGGATACCGTAATAGACATAAATAGCTCACATTTGTAGGGTTCTTGGTTTTGTTTTAAGATCTAGCAACGACTTCAACAATGCTACCACAGTTCCGAGATTACACACTGTACTAGTTAGGCCAATATTGGAATACTGTTCGACAATTTTGTCACCTACTACCAGCAAACAAATTAGTAAATTGGAGCAAATACAGTATAAACCAGAGGTTCCCAAGCTTTTTCCCCCGTAGACCCCATTCAAATCCTTACTGGTTTCGGCGGACCCCCAGCTGCTCCCAAATCTCATCAAAAAATGTGAAGATTAGATCTAACAATGTAAATCTTCATCGCGGATGAGTTCCAAAACTAAATTCGGAGTGGAAAAATAAAAATAAAATATTTTCATGTGTTCGATTTATTAAGACAATGTGATTATACACTTGCAAGTTTAAAAAAAAAACCGAGCTCGTAAAGCGATCAAAGTACTCTCTCGCTCTGAGGAGTTATATTTTTAAGAGAACTCCGAGAGCTGGCGTTATTTACATATTCTTAACCATAACCTCCTCAGATGTTCGGCTCATTCATGAATTTGCATGTGGAGTTTTCGTAAAATAGTTTATTTTGTGTTGATGGCATAATTTTTATTTTTATCGCTCCGAGTTTTAAAGTGATGCGAATGCCTGGTTTGAGCCAGTTCTGGCCAAATGGTTTGATGTCTCATTACAAGGTACTCCCGAGTGACCAACATAAAATAATAACATAAGTCGAGACTTGCATTACCGAACTAGTTTGGAAGTACTTAGATAGAGGGCTGGCCAATGCCTTAAGTTCGCGGACCCCCACTTACAACTCGTGGAACCCCATATTTTTTTCACGCCAACGTAGAACCCCGACGAGTCTCCTGTGGACCCATTCGGGTCCACCTGGACCACTTTGGGAATCACTGGTATAAACTGTGCAAGCACATCTCATATCTTTTGCAACGAAGGCGAGCTAGTATGAGCATTGAAGAAATCTATAAGCAGT